GAGAGAATACTAGCTAGGCGACTTAGCTATTTAGCCGAGACTAGTAACCTACTATACTACTCCCAAATGGGAGGTAGGCTCTATAAGTCAGCTATTAATACTACTTTACTATTGCAAAATGAAGTAGAATTAAATAAGTCCTATAAGCTGAAAACTAGCACTCTCTTCCTAGATGTCAAAGGCGCCTTCGATCACGTGTCCAAGAATAGGCTATTACAGATTATAATTAGTTTATTACTACCTACTAGCCTTATTCTATAGGTATTGTTATTCCTAGACGACCGAGTATTACGACTAGCTTTTGATAATAGTATTGAAGTATTTAGGTCTATACTTACTGGTATTCCACAAGGTAGCCCTATATCCCCTATACTATTCCTTATCTATATCCGAGACTTATTTAAGTCAGTAAATATTAAATTCAGATCCTATTTAGATGATATATCCCTTACTACTACTTCTAAAAGTCTAAAGAAAAACATTAAGACTCTAGAAAGAGAAGTAAAGGATATAGTCGATTTAGGGAAAAAGAATACTATTAGCTTTGATATAGATAAAATAGAGCTTATTTATTTTGATAATTCCAAAAATAAGCCTAGTCTAAAACTACCTAATAGGGAACTAGTTTCCCCTAGTAAAGTAGTCAAATGGCTAGGGATCTATTTCGATGAAAATCTCAGATTTAAGGAACATATAGCCTATAGGGCTTCCAAAGCAAAACAAGCCTTTTATAGGGTATAGAGACTTACGAATATATCACGTGGCTTATCTCCTTTTGCAATTAGATAGCTATATTTAGCCTGTATTACTAGTGTAATAGACTATAGTTCTATACTATGGTGGAAGACTGAAAGCAAAGCTCAAATTCGGCCTTTACAGGCGATTCAAAACCTAGCCCTAAGGAAAACCCTAGGAGTATTCAAAACTGCTCCTATTATTCCTATAGAGGTCGAATCAGCTTTAGTTCCACCTATTATAAGGCTAAACTATAGTTGACATCGATATACCTTCCGTATCCTTAAACTAAGTCTAAAATACCCTATTAGACTAGAGTTCGAGAAATCCTTCCAAAGATTCCGTAATTTAGAACTAGTAGAATCTGATATAGACTCTATTTATAGTCTAAATACTGATCTAAAGCGAAATCGCATGGCCAAAAAGTCTCAAGTAGAAACTATAGTGGACTCTATTAGTAATCTGATAGACCCTAAAGACCTAGAGACTATAAGACACTTTTATTTTACCCCTTGGGACAGAGAAGTGCCTTATAAAATCACTATATCAAAAGAGCCAAAGGAAGAGACTACTATATTATATAACTTCTATCTAAAGACTTTATATAATAATAGCTCCATACTATCTATATATATAGATGGATCTCAAACTGAAAAAGGACTTGGAGTAGGCCTAGGGCTCGTAGTTTATAGTCACGAAACTCCTTATATTCCGGCCGTAGCTAAATATAGAGAAAGCCAGAATATAGGAGCTAGTACTATAGTCTATAACGGAGAACTAGAAGGCGTTACTAGGGCTATTGAATACGCTAGTAGTAAAGCAAAGAGAGGGGAGCTTTTTAATATCTATATAGATAACCAAGCTGGTTTACTAAGATTAAAAACTCCGTCTAATAAACCTGGCCAAAGCTAACAGATTAGAGCTATATTAGCTACTAAGGCCCTTAAAGCTAAAGGAGCTAATATAGAACTAATCTGGGTTCCAGGGTATACAGATATAATAGGGAACGAAGAAGCAGACGAACTAGCTAAGCTAGACACCACTTCTCCTATATTAGAACCTGAATCAGTGAAAACCTCCTTTGCTTTCCTAGGGGTTGAAATCAATAAAGTTAAGAAACTAGAGTATAGACTACTTTTAGAATCTTATACTAAACCAAAAACCCAGCTAGAAGCATATAACAATATATATCCGTAGAAAGTATCCAGAAAGATAAACCTACCTTCTGGAATATTTAGGCCCCTAGCTAGTACCTTCTTCTAGCTAAAGCTAGGCCACGGATATTTAAAGTCCTATTTATACAGGCTAAATATAATATCTAATAACAAATACAAATACGGAAAGACTGAGAATGCAAAGCACCTCCTTTTATACTATACGCTATATAGGGAGGAACGACTCAGACTGTTTAGTCTATTCAAAGGGAGCTTAGAAGCTAGTACTTTTAACCTATGACTACTATTACATACGGAAATTGGGATATCAAATATACTAGTATTCTTAAAAGAAACTAGTATATGTATAAGAAAATGGTATATTGAGCGAAGCGTGGAAGTGGAAGAAGTAGAAGAAGTAGAAGAAGTGGAAGAAGTGGAAATAAGGGAGGAAATTGGGGAGGAAATAGGGGAGGAAATAGGAGAAGGGGAATAGGGAAAAAGGGAAAAGGGAAATAGGGAGTAGGGGAGGAATTGCGATTTATATTCATTTTTTCTTTATTTCCTTAAGTTTTTATTTCAGGGGTATATCCCCAACTATTTACTACCTATATTAGAATTTGGGCCTGCATATAAACTACTGAGACTCACGCTAGCTTAGCTAGCCGTACTATATAGTTCTAAACTAATAAAGTATATTAAAAGGAAAAAAAAAAAAGGAAAAAAAAAAAAAAAAAAAAAGCAAGCATTCCTTAAGTACTAGCGAAATAGATGCACTAGTATCGGGGAGCTGAATAATACCCCTATCCCTAATACTAATATTCCTCAAGTACTAGTGAAACGGATGCACTAGTATCGGGAAGCCGATTTTTGCTCTCTTTTTAATACTGGCGTTCCTTAGTATTAGTATAATAGGTGCGCTAGTATTAGGGAGCCAATTTCTGCTCCCCTTTTAAATATAGTACTAGTATAATAAATAACGTTAGGGAGGCCGAATTGCCCTATTATACTAGTGCCTTGGGGCCAAATTCCTACTATTTCCCGTAATTCTTACTAGTATATCTTTTATAAAGGGTATTGGAACCGGTTCTTATAACGGTACTGGGTATAGCTACTATATTAAAGCCTAAATTAGCTCTGGCCTATTAGGTAAAGAAGGAGCCGAAATAGGCATAATACTAACTAGTATAGGGATCCTGTTTTGGCTTCCTTAAGTCCTTAATTAGCTCTTGCAGAGAACCTTAGGAATGTTCTCCAGGAACTAATAATAGTTTAAGGATAGTATAATATCTAGTTATTATATAATAACTTATTATATAACTACTTATTATATAATAGCCCGTTATATAACTATTTATTATATAATAACCCGTTATATAATGCCTTATTATATAACTACTTATTATATAATAACTCGTTATATAACTAATTATTATATAATAACCCGTTATATAATTATTTGTTATATAATAGCCCGTTATATAATAATCCGTTATATAATTACTTATTATATAAAAATTTGTTATATAATACCCTATTCTATAACTAATTATTATATAGTAACCCGTTATATAACTACTTATTATATAATAACTTGTTCCGGGACTAATTTATATCCGGGGTTCCAGAATTTTAAGTCGGAGTTATGGGAAGATTAGGATAGTATCTAAGGTCTATTTTTATTACCTATATAACTAAAAAAGAAAGATTTATATAGAAAACCGGAAATTCGTATTTATATTTTAGGCCTGAGTACTCTTAGCTATAGTACTATAACTAAGAATACGTTAGCTTATATAACTATACCTTAGAATACTATAGGATAATATAATATTCCTCTTTATATACCGAAAAACCTATTATACCAAAAAAAATAGTAGGTACTTTAGATTTAAAGATCTCTAAATCTCTATATAAGGTAATATATTCTATATATTTATAAAAATTATAGTTTATAGTAATAACTAAATACTTTAAACTATTTTGAGATGAATTTTGGATTTATGTTATTAACTTGAAGTTTTATTTATAGATAACTTCTTTTTATAGTATTATAAAGTTTTTCTATTATAATTTTACTCTAAAGTCCTAATTATTTTTAATATTTATTAATGTATTTTCTTGAATTTTTCGAATATTCTTAGCTATATTAGAACTTACTATATATCTTAGGGCTACTATAGTATATAGATTTATATAGAATTGCCATATGAATTAGTATATCGGATTATATTATTTCTAATTTCGCTTAGTAAAAAATAGTAATATACGCTTTTATAATATATAGACTCTTTATATAATTATATAATTACATAATTACTGACTAATTATATAGCTATCCTAATACTATAGCTAATGCCAGCCGAGTATTTAATTAGTAATTTTTGTTCTATATTAGCCAAGCTAATAAGGAAGATAATAAAGAAGATAATATAAAAGAAAGTTCATCTCTACTTATTGCCTACTTATATAGATTAGAAGGATTAACGGCTTCACTATTATCCCGTTTCTGTATAAGTATATCTGGATAACTTTAAACTTTAGACTGCGCTATCTCAAACTTTACTAAGTACCTAGCTCGAGCCCAAGTAATTACTCTTTATTACTATTATAACTATTATAAGGGAAGATATAGGAGCCTGCTATATAATGGCTATTGGGACTAGAAAGTAAAGAAGTAGCTAGTATAGGTATAACGAAGATTATTATATGCCTTAGTACAGTTATTAAGTTCGGTGGGCCTGCGGAATTATAGGTCTTTAAACGAATAATACTCGTCCATTAATATCTTAATTGGAAAACGCTATGGTCTTACTATATTTACTTATTTAAATAAGTAATACCTATTCGAGAGGCGAGGATAAAACAGGTTTACTAAATTACTACCCTAGATTTGAATGAAATGCGTATAATTACGCAAGATAGAAAAGGCCGTCTATATGTCTGATCCCTGAAACCCAAATCCACTACTAGAAGTCCATGGCTCCTGTCTTAACTTCAATGCTATTAAGCCTTGGGAGTCGGGGGAAGTAGAACCAGGGGGGTTTTAGCGATTACTATATTATATAGCTTAGATGCCTCCTGGATACTAATGAAAAAATCCTTATAGCTTTATTTAATGGGCCCGCTGAGCTTATCGTATATGGTCTTGCTCTGATCTATCACGTTAATAATATTGTAAATATTTAGGAAAATGTTAATAACCGAAACGACTATAATAATACTAGTAGCGAATTTTCCCCAGGTGTCTATTATCTTAAAAGCGCTCGGCTCCGTCTCCTTAATCTCCCAGGTATTGCGGGTCGAGTCGGGGTCGAGGTTCTCGGCGGCCTTTCTGACCTGTGTCCTGGCAATATTTAACTTCTTGACCATAATAATAACCGTAATGACTTGGGCGAACTTTAATAAACTACCCGGTAAACCCAGGTTCTTGATGACCCACATGTACTTCTGGGTATCGGCAGTTGTCTTTGCACTGAGATTTAGTTTATCTAAGGCGTTGTAAATCTTTTGGATCTCAGGGGCGTTATAAAACTTTCTAGCTAACTCGGTCCATGTCCTGAATCCAGTAATATTAAGTATCTTCTTGTCCGGGCTATAACATTGCACTTGAGCCATGAACTGTATAAGGTAGCTGCGGCATTATTTATTATTGAGGCCATTTGGTGATTTCGATGTAATTAAGTTATTATTCGCCTTATATTAGGCGATATAGCTCTTGACCTGAGGGCTGATCTTGGCTGCGATATCGTTATTAATAGTTCCTAATTTCTTATTCAAGTCGGCTGATTTGGAGGAGATCACTTTTCCGTTGGCCCACGCGGCAGCCTCTAATGTGAAGAACGCGGCCATACCGAAGCCGAAGGTCTAGATGGAAGCTATTGCGGCGGCATCCGCGGCTATCTGGAGTACGTCCTGGGTAATAGTAAGATCTCGAATGGTGGTTGCTTTGCTAATGAGGTCGTCAAATTCGGAGTTGACTGCGGCTTCCGCATTAAAGGTACCAAGGCTTATAAACGCCTTCTGCTCGGTAATTAACGAGGTAATGTTATTATTAGACTCCCTATCCTAAGTAATAATATAATTGAGGTAGGTCATTAATGCGGTACTTATTTTAGTGGCTGTTTATTGAGTTTAATTAACGGGAAAAAGCAAATGAAATGGATACGGAGTATTAGTTAGTAGGTCTTAGCTAATGAAAACGAAAATGGATAAGGAAGTTAAAGAGAGTAGGAGCTTTGCCCATGTTTTATAGATAATATCTGAGTACTTGGTAAAGTCTATACTTGTCGTTTTGACGTAGAATCTCACACTGGCTTCGTAAGGCCATAGCCTGCTGCCGTATCCGCTATGGTCTAGAACGTGCGGGCGCTATTTGTGGGTAGTGCAAGTTCCGGTAATCTATTGACTTCTATACTGTTTCCGGCTATCTCGCTAGGTCTTAGCCAGCTATATTTAATATTGGCCGTAATGGGAGGTAGTATATATCTATGGGGTACTAGCTTTGGCTCGGTTAGCCTGCGGTTATCCCAAAATTACCTAGGTAGTAATTTCCTGTATCTGCCTGATTTTCCCTAAATTATAGTTTAGAAATAAAAATATATTATGATTAATAATTATGAGTAGTATATTGTAAAGTATGAAGTCTAGGTAATTAGCTTATGGGATTTGATATATGCTATATTGGATTGGAATTTCGGGTCTACTCGTTAGAAAGACTCGAAGTCATACTATTATTAGTAAACGAGCCTTAGCTAAGAGCTATAGAATAATCCGGACATTGTTATTATTTTCATACTTATTAAGTGTATTAATAATAAGAACGTAATATTAGTGAGACTTCTCTAGCCTTAATAAAGGGCCGAGAATAAGCTAATACTACTGGTCTAAGAGAGACAGATTCGCAATATTATACTGCTTTATAATAGCGTTATAGATCTGTTTCTAAAGAGTTAGTACGGCTTTTGCAAGCTATACGGTAATACTTATAAAGAACATACTAGTATGGCTCATATTAATCCAACTTTTTTCCGGTTTTTTTTTACTCCCCTTACTTTCACACCCACACTTCACCCACCTTCAGAACTCACTCAATATATCTTAGCCCTTTGGCCCCAGGCTCTAGAACCTATTATAAGTAGAGCTAGAACAGGCTAAATGGCCCCCCCTGACCCCCCGGGCTCCAGCCCCCCTCCTATTAACTTTCAAGAGCTCGGAGAGCTTCTAGAGGGCCCTAGCAAGGAACTAGAGCTACCTACTAGCTCCCTACTAGCCCGGTTTAGCCAGGGAGCTTAATTCGCATTCGATTTAGCTATAAATCCCATCTCTTTAGACGAACTCGTAGCCCCTTTTCCTTAGCCTAATTCAGCTAGTATGGCTCGACTAAGCCGCCTCCAGAACGGGCTAAAGCGTGGCCCTAGTATAAGCAATATTAATAGCAATATTAATAAGGAATACCAAAACTACGGAAACTACTACTAATACCAAAATCAAGCTTTAAATAAAGCTAAATTACTAATTCGTTAAGCCCGGGACTTAATAGTCAAAGCCATTACTATTATCCCGTTATATAACTAGTAATCTCGACTACTAGATTTAGTAGAAATCTTTAGGGAATATACAGAATTTGGCTATATCCGCTATACTAGTACTTTACTAGCTTTATAGATAGCGAATCTCGAAAATGTTACTAAATGGATCGAAATTCAGTCAAGAACTCAAGCCAAGCTAGCTACTCAAGCTAAAACTACCTCCGAAAAGCCTACTTGGGCTAAAATCGCTACTTAAGAACTATAAATATACTCGGAATTATACTCGGAAAAGAACTAGACTTTAGTATTATATACTAAGTCTAAAAATCAGGGAGGAAAAGGCCCTAGTATACTTACTAGTAGTAGTAGTACTCGTGGTACTAATAAACCACCCAGTATACGTAATACTAGTGGTTCTGGTACTTGTAATACCAGATCTATAGCCCTCTCTAGGAAATATACCTTCTTACTAGCTTATATAGAGCAGGCTAGCTCGTTCTCTGCTATTTTAACTCGTAATTCGCTTAATACTACTTTCTATTCTAAGGGAATCAAGGAACTAGTAATCTCTATGGTTTCTCTTTCCTTAAAAAGTAATATTATAGTTAATACTACTCCCGAATTTAACTCTGACTTTCTGGTTCAAAATCAAGCTATTATAAAGGAAGTACTTCCCTTAGTTATAAGTATATAAAAAGAAAAACCTTAATATAAAGTTATTATCTATAGTCTACCTATTCGTAAGTTTAATATATCCAAAGGAATAGACTTAGTCCTAGAAGAAATTAAGACCTTTAATAAGGGACTAGAGCCTATTAGCTAGCCCTATTAGGCTACTTCTAAGGAGAAAAGAGACTCAGGCCTCTAGTAAGCCGGTTTAGTAATAGTGGTATTTTCTACCGAGATTCAAGCTAATAGAGCTATTAAAAATAGACTCCTTATAGCCGGGATCTCTACTAAAGTAGTAAAATACCATACTATTTCTAGTACTATATAGTATACTAGATATATAGGATACAGGCACTTAGATTCTATTTATAAAAAGGAACCTAAGTACTTACTATATAGTAAGAATTATATAACTGAGAACCATTTTTGCTTTATCTATAAGAAAAAGAATAAAAAATACTCCTATATAATTACTAAATATTCTAATTACTTAAATACTACTCATTTAGCTAGTTCTAAGCTATATAAGATTTACTTAGTAATTAAAAAAGCTACTATTACTATAATTCCTACTATTACTATTAATAAGTAGCTATATTAAAGTACTATAAGTTAATATGAATTATAATAGCTCTACTACTAAAAACGTCTTATAAATAGCTATAGAACTAGATATTAAAGTCCTAGTAATCCAGGAGCCTTAGGTAATAGCAGGGAATAATAATCGGGAATATTATTCTATTATATACTCTAGCTATTTCCAAATTTCCGAATTATAATACCCTGAGGCCTAGAACCCTATTTTATATAGCTTGCGAACTATAAGCTAGTCTAGTCTCAAACTTACTAAGTAATCCTAATTACTTAATTATAGACTTAAGTCTAGGTATACTAAAAATGCAGCTAATTAATTTCTATAATATAATTTACCCAGAAGATCCTAATAGTATATTAACTATATTAAGAGAGAATATCTTACCTACTACTCTCTATAATAGCTCTCTATTACTAGGTAATTTTAATATATATTATCCTTAGTGGGATCCCCTTAAACCTCAAAGCAGTTATATAGTTTATTTAATTAGCTATATAGAAAACCATTCTCTAAGGCTATTAAATAAATCAGGGAAAGATATCTTCTATAAACCTAATATATCTATTTCTTCCGTATTAGACTTAAGTTTTACTACTAGTGAAATAGTAACTAAGATTAAAGACTAGCAAGTACTATTAGACTTAGGTTCTAATTACTTCGGGATTCTATTTACTATTAGTAAGTCGACTTATAGCTCTAGTTCTAATCTAGTCAGATTTAATACTAAGAAAGCGGACTGGGCTAAATTTATAAGCTACCTTATTAATAGCCTTGAGAATATGCCCTTTTCATTTACTAGTATACCTAGAAACTATAAACTAGATCTATTAGTAGAAGACTTTACTAATAGAATAATAGAAGCAGCTAGTAATAGTATTTCAAAATCTATTACTAGTCCGTATTCTAAATCCTGGTGAAATAAGAACTTAAAAACCTTATATAAATTAATACTATACTATAGCCATAAGTCTAAAGCTTCAGAATATACTCTCTATAAATAAGAACTCCAAAATACAAAAAACACCTATTTTAATACTATTAAGAATACTAAGCTAGTATACTGGAATAAGTTCTTAGAAAATAAAGACCCCTAATTAATTTTTAAAACTATAAAATATACTAAAGATATTATATATTAACCTATTCCTAGTATCTTAGATAATAGTTCAAATAAGCTAAAATTGGCTTTCTAAGAGAAGTATAATATCTTTAGAACTATACTTTTCCTATTACTCCCTATTACTAAGCCTACTAGTTTAATAAACTATAGGTCTAGCTCAAAATAGAACTAGCCTATTTTATCTAAAATAGAGCTAGAATAAGCCTGTACTTCTAAGATAAAGGGGAAAACCCCTAAACTAGACTTAGTTATTTAAGAGATTATAGTCTATATTTATAGAGCTTCTTCAGATATCTTTTATAGGCTATACTCCTTATTTATTAATAAGGAATATTACCCTAAAGTCTAGAAATAAGCTACTAGCTTTATTCTAAAGAAATTAGAGAAACTAAACTATTTCTTACCCAAAGCATATCGAGTTATTTCCTTACTTAATTACTTAGGAAAGATTTCTGAGAGAATACTAGCTAGGCAACTTAGCTATTTAGCCGAGACTAGTAACCTACTATACTATTCCCAAATAGGAAATAGGCTCTATAAGTCAGCTATTAATACTACTTTACTATTATAAAATAAAGTAGAATTAAATAAGTCCTATAAGCTAAAAACTAGTACTTTCTTCCTAGATATTAAAGGCGCCTTCGATTATATATTTAAGAATAGGCTATTATAGATTATAATTAGTTTATTACTATTTACTAGCCTTATTCTATAGGTATTATTATTCCTAGATAACTGAGTATTATAACTAGCTTTTAATAATAGTATTAAAGTATTTAGGTCTATACTTACTAGTATTCTATAAGGTAGCCCTATATCTCCTATATTATTTCTTATCTATATCCGAGACTTATTTAAGTTAGTAAATATTAAATTCAGATCCTATTTAGATAATATATCCCTTATTACTATTTCTAAAAGTCTAAAGAAAAATATT